TCTTCTTCGCAGAGCTATAAGTAGGAAATGGGAAACTTCTGTTTCCAGCTTGAGTTAACTGCTATTTATCTTATATCACATTTTAGAGTATGGCTAGAATACTAGATTGCAATTAATGAAAAACAAATGTAAACCTCTCTAATGTTTCTTTTGCAACCATCCTGAAGAACAGAAGGGTTTATTATGATCTCTTCCAGGTGATCAGTTGGATATTAGCAAAACTAAGCATGATAGTAGATAAATAGACCACTAGTTGAATGACAAAGTTTGTTTGCATTTTTTAATATTATTGTTCTATAACTCAGGACCTTCCCAACCTCTCCTTTTTGTCTTCCATTCAATCATGTCTGATTCTTGGAGACTGCCTGGAAAAAACCCTGCAATTTTCTTGACAAGATTTTTCAGAAGTGGTTTGTCATTATCTCATCCTAGGGCTAAGAGAAAATGACCATATTCACCTTTAAGGCTTTGTCCTTAAAGTGGCACTAGAACTCACAATGTCCTGGTTTCTAGCCTGATGCCTTAACTACTACATCGAAATGGTTTTCAATCTGTCTTTAATGAAAAGCATTTAATGTGTTACTTGGTAGTGTACCAAACAAGGAAAGCAAGCCAGAAAACTGCAGATAAAGACTTTCAACCCCTGTACCTTGACCTGATACCTCTGTTTGCAAACATATTAATGGGTGTGCACCAAACCCAGGCAAGCATTATTTTAAAAACAGACCAGTACTCAAGCATAAGCAAGTTCACCAACAGTTTTTCAAACAAGTGACATCAAAGCCTCTCATCTCACAGCCAGGATAGGGAATCTTGTGGGTTTAACTCTGGTTTTTATGAGTACCCTGGGGTCTACTAAATACTGCCAGAAGCTAAAGGCTTATGCATAAAATAATTGTGATCCTAGGAAAGTTGAATGTAGTCTTTCCATATACAATCTAAGTTCTACATCCTTCAACTTATTTGCAGCAGCTTTCTTCCACCCCCAATTTTTAAAATAACTAAGTAGCTTTTAATTTGTTTTCTTATAGTTCAAGCAAATAAATCAGAGGACAAGTTTGAATGAATTCTTGATTTCATTGATACTCAGATTCTTTTTTATAACTCCACTTACCTCTTAAATTCTCTGGGGGAGAAAAATGTTTCATAGAATGACAGAAGTTTGAAAATAACTAATTTAACTTTTATGGAGAACTGCAGAGAATTCTGTTGATATTTTTTTTTATTTAACATATAGTTTAGTTAAGCTGAATAACTTCCAATTATATTGCTAATGAAAATGATTCAGCCTGATGGAAAATACATGCCATGATAATCACTTAATTTTCATTAAAATTAGAAACTCTATAACTTAAAAACTATTTTGCCATCATTTTCATATTCCATATTTTAAAATCAGAACCTGTTCATAACAAAAATCTACCAACAGTTTTATTTCTCTCTTCTGTCCTGCTACAGCCTCTATTTAAATCAATTAACGATAGCTCAGAAACAAAGCTTTAATGCTATGCACAAGAATGATGATTAGAATTATTAGAATGCCACTTTATGGTTAAGAAATTCAGATAAACCTTAAGCCAGTGTCTTTCAATATTATTCATAAATGATATTCTTGATACATTTGATTCTACACCATATTTTAGATCTATAGTTGAATAATCAGCATCTCACCTCATATACAAATTTAAAACACAGCATATGCCAGTGATATTTAATTGAATATATGGCCTCCATAAGCTATATGTTACATATGTAAATTTTTCAATATCATATTTATATATCATAGTATACAAATGATACATAATACAAGATAGCTGTATCCTTCCTGAAAGACTGCATACCTTTCACTGTGTGCACAATTATTAGGCAAATTCTGTGGATTAATTTTATTATTGAACAACTACAGTGTTCTCGGTTAATCTAAAATGTTAATAAACCTCAAACCTTTAAGAATATTTAAGAAAGTAAAAGTGAGGTTTTGGCTTTCTTAGGAGAATATGTGTGCAAAATTATTGGGCAATTATTAGTGTGCAGAATTATTGTGCAACTAAATGAAAAAGGAAAATTTTCCCATCTCACTCATTTATTTCCATCTGTTAATGTGAGAATAATAAACAAACAATTCAAAATTTGCAAATAAACATTTCTGACATTTCAAAAAAAATAAATCAGTGACCAATATAGCCTTTCTTTTCAATAAGTCATAAGCCCATTCATGGACTTCGTCAGTTTTTTGATCTGTTGACGATCAACTGTTTTAAGAAAGGCCCACAAGTTCTCAATAGGGTTTAGGTCAGGTGAGGAAGCTGGCCATGTCATTATTCTTTCATTTTTAAGGCCTTTACTGGCTAGCCATGCAGTGGAGTACTTCGATGCATGCGATGGAGTATTGTCCTGCATAAAAATCATGGTCTTCCTGAAAGATGCACACTTTTTCCTGTACCACTGCTTGAAGAAAGTGTCTTTTAAAAACTGGTAGTAGGTTTGGGAGTTGATTTTGAGTCCATCTTCAACCTGAAAAGGTCCGACTAGTTCATCTTGAATAATACCAGCCCATACCAGTACCCCACCTCCACCTTGCTGGCGACTGAGCTGAAGTGGAGCTCTGTACCAGTTACTGATCCAGCCATGGGCCCATCCGTCTGCTCTGTCAAGAGTCACTCTCATCTCATCAGTCCATTAAACCTTTGAAAAATCTGTCATCAGATATTTTTTGGCCCAGTCTTGCCATTTCAACTTAGGTGTCTTGTTCAGTGGTGATCGGGTTTCAGCCTTCCTTACCTTGGCCATGTCTCTGAGCACTGAACACCTTGTACTTCTGGCCACTCCAGGTAGGTAGCAGTTCTGGAATATGACAGCACTGGAGAATAATGGGTTCTGCTAACTTCACATTTGATTCTTCTCAAACCTTTAGCAGTTAATTTGCGTCTTTTTTTCTCAACATGTTTCTTGGGATCCTGTTGACTATTTGCAACAAAATGTCTGATGGTTCTGTGATCATGCCCTGATACCTTAGCAGTTTCAAGAGTGCTACATCCGTCTGAAAGACTTTTTACAATTTTTGACTTTTCAGAGTCAGTTAAATCTCTTTTTTTGGCCCATTTTGCCTGAGGAAAAGATGATGCCTAACAATTATGCACACCTTGATATAGGGTGTTGATCTCCTTAGGCCCTACCCTCCCTCATTATGCAAAAACACATCACCTGATATGCTTATATCCAATAAGAATTCAAGTTTATACAGCTTGGAGGTGGAAAATATGCATTAAAATGATATTTTTACATTTTTAAAAAAGAACCGAGGTGGCGCAGTGGTTAGGGTGCAGTACTGCAGCTACTTCAGCTGACTGCTAGTTCAGCAGATCAGCGGATCAAATCTCACCGGCTCAAGGTTGACTCAGCCTTCCATCCTTCCGAGGTAGGTAAAATGAGGACCCAAATTGTTGGGGGCAATATGCTATTTAGTATACTGTCTTTGGTGTAAGCCGCCCAGAGTCCTTGGAGAGTGGGCGGCATAGGCATATGAATAATAAAAATAATTTTAAAAAAATATGGTCAAAATACTCACTTGCTTAATAATTGTGCACCATGTAAAAGTGGGTAGAATCTGATGCCATTCAAGTATGCTGACGTAAAATAGGCATGAACAGGATACATTTCTCAAATGAAATTTCACTTATGAAAAGAATCGAAGTAGACAGACTAGAGGCTTTAATTAACTTCACATTACTAGTGTACATTCTTGACATTCACTAAGCTTTATTTTAAAGAATGTTTCCTACATATAAAAAAATAGAATAAAGGCCACTTTAATTACTATCAGTAATAGTGACCTCTGCAAACATTGCATAGCTCCAGCCCCATTTGTTTACACTGTGGATCTCTCTCATTTGGTTCAGAATCCTTTACCGCAAATATAACGGAGGCAATAAAAACAGAAAAGAGGGGAGAGTGTGAATACTGAATAGTTTATTATACCAGGAGTCCATCCTTCCTACCTTACTCTATTATTCAGTTAAATATGTAAAAATATTAAGATGATTTATCATTTTTCCCTGTAGGAGAAACACAAAATATGTCAAGTGCTGCTATTCAGCTGAAGACCCATTCTCCCCACAAATGAAAGTCACAAAACCGAGCAAAAACATTTAAGGATGGTAAACTAAAATCATGCCACCCTGCTCTTCTCTAGATTCAAAAGATGAACTTGAGAGGTCTTTTGAAAATCCCAGCAAAACCAGGTAGGAAGTGAAATCCTTCCTTCCTCCTAAAGATGATGATTATAATCATAGCTATAATTACAACCGCAGTTAGGATTTGCTAGCGAAGTACATCATGGGAGCCTTCTCCCCACAGAAAGACATCACTTGGTCACCAAGCTATCAGCCCCAAGGCAAGGATGCACTGGGTTCATGCTACCAGCAATTCTGTAGGAGGTGGAGAAAGAAAAAAGGAAAAAAAAAAAAGAGAGAGAGAGAGAGGAAGAAGCTCACTCACTATTGCTCCAGGATTTCAGTAAATATTTGATACTGATTTCAAAGAAGCCGGAATCCTGTTGGCTGGCCATGGTTGCGGCATACAAGGAGATTCTCCGAGAGCAGCTCGTCGAGCGGCAGGTACTTTGCCGGCGAGATGGGACTGTCACCAGTTAGTGATGTAAACGGAGGGGTCAGGAGAGGAAATGAAGTCTCCGCAGAGCCTCTCCTTCCGCTCCTGAGGGGCGCTTGCTCCTGCAGTAGCGGCAGCTGCTGCTGCTGCTCTCTCGTCCACGGACAATGAACGAAGCAGCCTTGGCGATGCTTGTCCTCGGCTCATCCTTCACCGAGCGTGCCGCCTCCCCATCGCACGGAGCGTCTCCCCGGGAAGAGTCTAAGCGCCCCTTCTCACCATCCACCAGCTCGCTTAAAGCGCCGCCGCTGCTGCTGCTGCTGCTGTTGTGGGCTGCGGCTACTGCTGCATGAACGCCGCTGTCTCCTTCTTCTTCCTTGCGGGTATTAGAGAGGAGCGGTCGGAAGGAAAAACACCTCTTCCTGCAAAACGCCCCGCAGCAGCCCAGGCAACCGGGGCGGCCCGGTGATTCGCCACCGACGAGAGCTTCAAGGGCCTTCCTCTCTTGCAGCCCCGGCGCGCGGGACGGAAGATGGGAAGCCAGCCGGAGTGGTTTTGTTTTGTTTTGATGCCAGCTGCTGCTGCTGCTGCTGCCGCCGCCGCCTTGTCAGCTGCTTCCCTCCCAAGAACAACAACAACGCCTAATTCTCAACAACTGCATCATGCTGCGGTAAAGCCCAAACTGCACCCATCCAGAGGGTGCAGTGACGGTGCCTCTTTTCTCCTCCTCCCCAGGTTTTGCCCGGCGCTTCTCCGCGCTGCCTTAGTTGTTTGGGTTCTTCTTCTCTCTCGGCACCAGACAAATCGGAGCGGCTGCCGATACCATTTTGTCTTGGGTCAGATTTAAAGAGACAGCAGCCAGCGGAATAATGGCTTACTATATGAAAGCCCCTCTATGTATGCCCCTTATTTCATGGATATGGCCAAGCTACAGTAACATCCCTTTTCTGTACCAAGTTGGCCACCTGCTTTAGCAGAAGAAATGAAAATTGTACTGAAATCAAAGAGACTTCCTGATTACTCTCCCCCCCCCCCAAAATTAAGGTATATTTACAAAAACAGAGCCCTAAAAATTGTCACTACTCTGAACTGGATGACTATGGACTACCCATATATGGGCACTTTGTACAGGGCTTCAGTGTCTGGAATATTGTCATTAAGCAGTATTTGTTTGCAAAAATAGAGGACTTTCCATATGATGAGCAACTGTGTTTCCACAGACAAGATTCTATGCATACACTGTGTATTTGTATGTGCATGTATGGGTATACATATGCGCATGTACATGTGTGTGTGAGAGAGAGAGGAGAGGGAGGGAGGGAGAGAGAAAGAAGAGAGAGAAAGAGAGGAAGGAAAAAAAAAGAAAGAAAAGAAAGAAAGAAAGAAAGAAAGAAAGAAAGAAAGAAAGAAAGAAAGAAAGAAAGAAAAGAAAGAAAGAAAGAAGAAAGAAAGAAAGAAAGGCTTTTGACAGATTTCTAGCACACATAGCCAAAAAGGCTATACAGTATATTATATAAATATGGTAGTATTTAAAATGCCATAAGTGAGTGTGACAATAAAAACACAAGTTATCCCTCTGAAAATTTCTTCAATTCCATCAATTATACCAATTATATCTTGTTGCTACTGATTTAAAAATAGTGTATATCCAAACAGCCATAAATAGTACCCTTTATTTATGTACCACAAACATATGTGATTTCTCATAGAATATAATAAAATCCTCATATCCCTTTTTGATTACTTCCAGAACCCTCTCTGAACACAACTCCAAAAAGCAGCACTTGCAAGACTGATGTCAGCAGAAGTAATTGAGACAAGAAGCACACCCTGAAGTACTAATTCTATCTTTATTGTAAGATTACATTAACAGAATCTTTCAAGTCTGAAAGTACATCTCTTGCACTTCATCTTTACAGTCCAAGAAATTGGGGGGGGGGTGTCCTTCTGAGACATTTGCTATGCCCCAATCCTTCTGGAAACTCAGCTGCTCTTCTCTGACCATTACCTAGTCTGTGGCTCCCTCTCCTACCTCCCAAGGTCATTCTCACATCCCATTACAGAGGCAGAGCTTCGATCACTACATTGTGGCCACTATCTTGACTTTTTTGACCTATGCTGCAAACATCCCTGGCTCTCAGATGCACCCTTGCAAAATCAGGATCTGCCCACTTGCAGTCATTTCGTATCCATTTTTAATTACCCTTGAAGAATGCTGAGATATCTCAGCTGATTTCTCAGGTGATCAAAACACAGGCATTGACTACTGAATGGAACAGGCAAAATATAATTATTGCAAAATTTTAAATAATGTCATTGGTTCACTGTCCATTTCTGAAAACATTTCTAATTTTGACAATAGCTCTTAATGGCTGCAGTCTGTATATCTGGAAAAAAGCCTGTTCCTACATTTTAAATTTTAAGCTTGCTCTTGGTGCCCCATGTTCTAAAGTTAGACTTATTAGCGAACAGGAAAGAACCTGTTCCTCTCTGAATGGCTTCCTTGATGCCAACATTGATGTATAATTCAGAACAGTATGAAATCAGATCAGTTTTTAAAGGTCTTATGCAATTTCCTGTCTCATTTTTTATTTTAAATTACTTTAATTGATGGCTACAACCTGACCTAGAAGCTTTCAGATTGAAGAGGTACAAATTTATTAAGCATACAAAATAGCAATTAAACTTCAGATATAATATAATTTAAAACTTCTAATAAGTTTAGTAAAATTAAAATACAAATTTACTATATTGATGAACATTATAATTTGAGGAAAATAAAATGCACAATTATATTTAGAATGAAAAAATGTCCTTTTCTATTATAATTTGACATAGGACCAGGGCATCTTTTCATGCATTTTTAAAGAACAACCTTAAATACTTAATTTATTGAACCAGCTCTGCTCCAAAGTTTAAATTACTTATTAATGTCCATTTCTTTTCTGAACCATTTTGTCTAGTGTCCTCTGATCAAAATATTTATAATAGAATTGTTCTCATAGCATCTGCCAGTATACTATTAACAAGTACTTTCATAACACACAAAACTGGCCATGCATGGTATGGTGTACATTAACTGCCTTGCTCTGGAATTACCAGTTGAAATGCAAATCAGCAATTCTACCTGTATGACCTGAAAAAAGGAACTGATTTGCATATTTTCTACCTGTAAAAATATCAGAAAAAGAAAAATCCTCAACCTCCTTCCCAAGTAGACCAAAGCTGATGAATGAGAAATTGAAATACCATTATCAAATCTTAGGATGGATAAAATGTAGGATTCAAATGCAGATACTTATTACATTTGTTTTTTCCTGTGAGAAACATGTTCCTCTGCTGCCCCCAAGTGGCTTCAGAAACCAATGTTAGCGCAGCACAAGGATGAGCCATTAAACTATAGTATGAATAAACAACCACTTTACCATGTTTTCCTCTTGTCTATTAACCAGCACAAAACTATGCCAGACTTTAGGTTGACTTCAAGAAGAAAATGACGAAGTGGTAATGGGTAATAATCAGAAGGCTGACTTCCTAATTCTTGTTTCATGTCTGTCTTCTGTTAGATCTCCAATAGGGTTCTAGCTGATCATGGTTATGCCACTGAGAAAAGGATGAAACTGAAACTTGGAAAGACAAGAAAAAATAATTGAGAACTTGTCAAGAATTCAAGTCTCCAGTATTAGATGGACTATTGGTAATCTTAAAGAACTCCCATGAGAATAACAAAGTTCCAGAAGATTGGAAGAGCACAAATAGAAGGTCTCAATAAACTACTGTCCTGTATGCTTGAGATCTTTACTGCAAAAGGCAACATATTTGTGAAAGTTAGGATAAGTATGGTACAAATAACAGGATTTAGCATGGATTAATCAGAGATAAACCATGCTACACTAACATTGTTTTTTGACAGACTAGTTTAGTAGTTCAGGAGAATGCATTGGACATAGTGTAGAGATGAATCTCAACTAAATCTCCAGCAGAATATGATAATATTCTGGATTATACTGTTAGATGTAGACACAGTTAAATTAATGCACCCTAAAAGTGTTCAGTAATGATTCCAGGTTAACTTGGGAGGAGGTTATCAGGCCCCACACGATGCTATCCGGGGCCCTGTGCTGTCCAACATTTTTTATCAGTGGGGACCTGGTCAGAACAGAGTCCGGTGGAAAATTACTTTATGTAATCTGAAGTCTTGTTCTTATTGATGCACTTTAAGATAGTCTTTGTCTTTTTCAAGACTTTGTCTTTGTCTTTTTTGTATCATCATCACACTACTGGTTCATGTTTAACTTGTGATTGACAAGGACACCCAGATCTTTTTCATGTGTACTATTGCCAAGCAAAAAATGCCCTCTCCTATACTTGTGCCTTATGTGTACAGGTATTTCCAAATGTTCAAATACCAATATTTCAAATGTTATAGTAGGCTGAACATACTTGGATCTTTTAATCTTTCATCATAGGGATTAATTTTCAGACATTCCCCATTTTAGTAGGTCTCTTTTGATCTTGCTCCAGTTTTCCATTGGTGTTTTTTTTTTCTCTCCAAACAGTGGTGTTCAGAATCTATATTCCATGTGCTACAGATGACTAGTCCAATTGGAATCTTATGGGTTAGGTTGACAGATTATAATTAACTCCAATTTATTAAGTGGATTCTGTGGCTTAGAGTGGTTTTGAACTTGGACCTTAACTGCATCACCATCAGCAGCTTCTAATACCCTTAGGCATCAGCGCTATAAGATTCAAAACACTTTTTACCTAAACTCAATTTTTCTCCTTTCATGGGAAGAAACAAACAAATGGTAAATTAATTGTAACAAGATTAGAATAATCACAACAAAATAATCAGTTTTCCTATAAGCCTGAAAGAACAAAATATTTCAGGATATTTTTTGTTCTACAGTATATGGAAAATATAAGGATCAGTCAAAACAGTTCTGCCTGTCAAAAATTCCCAGTTCACATACAGATAGGTTTCAAAGGAAGAACTTTAGCTTAAATTCTCCATGAAGTTTTAAACTTCTAACATGCCAAATCAAGCATAGAAGCTCCTATGCTTTCTGAAGCAATGTTGTAGCATGCAGAATGTATTCATGATTTTCCTAGTCACATAAATTTAGATTGAGTGCACAGCTTGAAAAACTAAATCTCCATGCAGTTCCTGAACACTTGGATAAATCTTGAAAAACCTGTACAGAAAATGCAAGTACCTCTAGTTCTGAATATATTAAAGAAAATTATGAAACACATTGAAATACAATTAAATGCAATTAAATAAAGTTATGTCTCATCCCAAAGTTGTGCATACTTGGAAAGCAATCCCCAGAACCCCTCCTACATAATATAGAATGACTGAGTAGAAAGTAACCTTGGAGGTCTTTATGATCAACGCCCTGCTAGCTTAGTCATGTGACTTCAGTGGTTTGGAATAATAGTATAGTTCCAATGATCACTAGTTATGAGTGCTTCTTGTCTTTTGACAAGACGCAGTTCTGTGGGTGTGGCTTATGGCGTGGTTTGATGTCATGTGACAATTCTTTAGGATTTAGCAGAGGTAACAGACAAATTTTAAATTAAACATTTCTTGAATTGTACAACTGACAAATTACGTTAGAAGCTGTGTTTTTCCTGTCTTTTGTGCAAGAGGAGAACAAACTAAAGTGTTTGATGCAAAGACATCAGATATTGAAGCAGAGAAAGACACACAATCATGCTCAATAAGGGTGGTGCATTGAAATAGATGTGTTTCTACAAATGTACTTCCAAATTGGCAAGTATTTCAATACAGAAATATCTAAACATCTTAAGATGATATTTACTCAAACAACATTTGAGCACTGGGCACAATGGTTAAATACAGAAAATTTAACCAAGATTCTTACAATGAAGAGACTTGTGTTAGACGAGTTCCAGAGAGAGAGAAAAAAAAACACATGTACAGTATTAGTTAAATGTCAGTTGTATAAGGAAGAGATCAGTAACTTGGATCGCATATTAGACAAACAACCTATTTGGATCCATACATTAAAGCAACATATTTCCTGTTAGGTCAAAATTATCAAAATACATTCCATATGGCTCTTTGTTTGAACAAAACATTTTAATTCACCTATGGACCTGTGGGTCTGATGCCATAAGTTGTAGGGGTGATACAAAAATACGATTGACATTTTTATTCTTATTTTTTTTAATTTATAAGTTTTATACTATTGTTACAAACCAGTGATGGCGAACCTTTTCAGCACCTAGTACCCAAACTGGAATGAATATGCATGTGTGTGCATGTGTACGCACCGGAGTGCCAGAAACCTGAAGACTAGCTGGCCGGTGTGCACTTGCCTGTTTTTTGGGTGTTTGGGGGGCTGTTTTCAGGCCATTTTCAGGCCATTTTTTGGGCTGTTTTCAGGCCGTTTTCCTAAAAACAGCTGGCCAGAAATCCATGCCAGAAACCACATGTGCGCTGGAAACCAGGAGAGCAGCTGGTGATGGTGTGCATGCCCCCAGAGAGGGCTCTGTGTGCCCCTTCTGGTGGACTATCATGGTTATATACAGTCTTCCTAATGTTATAAAATATAAACTTTTTATTCTTTATTTTCATATGGGTTAATGACTAATCAATAATAAACTATTCTAATAAGTTTATGAGAACCAAGTTGGATTTGTTTAAAGCTAATATTTTGGAACTGATCTCATCCCAAATATACCAATTCTTCATTGCTTTTTCAGATCAATTTTGAATTATTTTCAGATTTGCTGCATGATAAGAGTCAATTGCCCTTTTATCACCAGCTTTATCCCAAAAAAGGGATCCTCTACCCAGGAATTGTCCAAGTGCTCCTCCATTTCAGATGGACTCTGGTTGGTCTCTTTGCTTCAGACACAGAAAATGGAGAGAATTTCATGAGGACTTTGACTCCTATGCTTGTCAGGAATGGAATCTGTGTTGTAATATCACAATATTTCTCAACAACCCGACTTACAGTACTCCACGGCAATGCCCTCTCTAAGTGGAGACAAGTCAATGTCTACATTCACTACATGGAATACGGTGCCGTTTTGGAAAGAATTCTTCCTTTTCACATAATACTTAGGCGTTTGCCAGGACACATTGAAGGGAAACTCTGGATCACAACACTCATTGGACTATATCCACTGAGAGACCACAGTGCTCTCAAATATGTGAATAGTATCTGGACTGTTGATTTTGAGAAAAAAAAGTGGCCAATAAACGATTCCTTTATAAGCGGTTTCTATCTGGATCCACCCTCTGGACATCACTCATATGTCTGTTCTTTTTCAAAACATGTCTTTTCTGTCAAAGGCCGGAAAAGATGCACTGAGAAATCATCACTGGGGACCCAAAAGGAAAAGAACATGGTGTGGGACGTGAATTTCCACCATTTTTACAGTGCCATTAAGACTCTGGCCCATGCCTTGAATGCGGCATATTCCTCCAGATCCAGGAGGAGACGGGAGGAGGGCAAAGGGAGTTTGGGGACTCCAAGGCTGCAGCCATGGCAGGTATGGGGTTCCAACAAGGACTTAGTTCCTTTGGTAAAGGAATTCAAAAGGAAAAGATGGAGACCATATCAACCTAATTGTGTTACAGGACTCCAACACGTTTTGCCAGTCTAATCACTCAGGCAATAATGTTCACAAGAATGGGAACTATGACAGATAGATTGATATTAAGCACTACTAATATTTAAATGATGTTTACATTTTAAAATAAATTCCTGCATGTATGGGTTTGTGATTAGCATCATAGAATTTTACCTTAATAAATCTGAAGGAGCCCCTTAGATCACCTAGTCCAACCTCTCCTCCCTGCAGGAATTCCAGTTAAATCTTTTCTGACTCATGGCTGCTCAGTCCTTCCATTAAGAAATTCAGTGAAGAGATGGCTGAATTTCTCTGCTTCTCTGGCTCAACAGTAAAACTTCACTTCTTTTAAGATTTTTTCCCCCTCTTATTCAGTCAGAATCTTGTCTCTTGTAACCTAATTCATTTTTTCCATGCCCCTGTCTAAAATAACATTGAACAGATCTTAAGTGTTTGTGTAACATCTTTCAGTTATTCTCCACCTAAGAGCTTCTATTAGTTGGAAAATCAATCAAACAATCAATTAATCAATCAGAATAGAGCTGGAAGGGACCTTGGAGATTTTGTAGTCCAACCCCATGGTCAAGCAGGAAATCTTATACCATTTCAGACAGGTGGCTGTCCAGTCTTTTCTTAAAAGCCTCCAGTGATGAAGCATCCACAATTTCTGAAGTTGTTCCACTGGTTAATTGTCCTCACTCTTAGGAAGTTTCTCCTTAATTTGAGATTGCTCCTTTCCTTGATTAGTTTCCATCCATTGTTTCTTGCTTTGCCTTCTTTGGAAAATATGTTGATCCCCTCTTCTTTGTGGCAGCCCCTCAAATATTGGAATACTGCCATTGTGTCACCCTAGTCCTTCTTTTCTCTAAACTAGCCATGCCCAATTCCTGCAATCATTCTTTGTATGTTTTGGTCTCCAGGACTTGGTTGCTCTTCTTTGCAATTTTTCAAAAGTCTCCACATCTTTTTTGTAACACGGTGACCAAAACTGGATGCAGTATTCCAGGTGTGGTTATACTAAGAATTTATAAAATGGTACTAATACTTCACATGACTTTGATTCTATGCCTCTGTTTATACAACCAAAGATTGCATTATCTTTTTTGGCTGCTACTCCACATTGCTGGCTCATGTTTAAGTGATCATCCATTAGGACTCCAAGGTCCCTCTCACACTAACAGAAATGTTACAGGTGTTTTGTGCCAGCCATGGCAGTCTCTTCAAAGGCCACCAGATGAGGGCAAAGAGACATCTTTGATCCCACTGGTGGGTCAAGGGGCTCCAGCCCCTGCAGCCCCATTGGGGAAAGTTAATGGCCCTCCGGCTCCCTCACACACCTTGTAGGGAGGGGCCAGGGGCCCCTATAAGAACCCCTGCACAGGAGCTGCTCTTTCCTTCTTTTGCCCTTTTTACCCTTTCCCTTTTGCCTGCTCTTGTTCTAGTCTCCTATGGGACTGACCCATGGGCTCACCTTATTTTACTCCACTTTTACTTCTAAATAAAGACTTAATTTGATTGCATCCTTGCGTGCTGACCTTTTCTTGGAAGCGCCCTCAATGAACCATCATTCTTCGTGAGATCCCTCACAAAGTGGTAGCAGAGGATGGTTTGAGGCAATGCTTCCAAGCCAG